GTAAGTGACAAAATTTGAACAATCATAATCCGGATTTGGATGTTGCTTGCTTCATATGTGTAGGCTCAGTAGCACATGCTTCACCTGCAGAAGTTTCCAAATTCAATCCCCAGCATCGCCAGGTAGGGTTGCAAAAGTCCTCTGTGTTTGAAAACCTGGAGAGCTGCTGGCAATCAATATAGACACTACTGAGCTAGGTGGACTGCCTCAGTGTAAGGCAGCTTTCTAGGTTCCTAACACAGAAGTTTATATCGACTTATGTCTTAGTGGCTTCAATGGTATTTTGATATACCTAATGTTACCTGCATTGTACCTAGTATGCGATGCAGGAGTTCCAGATTATTGCATCACACCAACTATCTTGATGTCTCCTTCTTCCAGTAAGCAGCAGCAACCCGCTTCTGCATTTAGGGCTTTAGATGTAATCACCAGTACTTTGAATTACACCCTATAAGCAAAGGATTGCATTCCTATTCAGAGTAAAACTACTGGGTTGTACCCATTGCTAGACCTGCTCAGATTAGACTCATTGAAAATAGTAGACATGGCTTACTGAGATTTACTAACTTCACTCGGTCTAGTTTGAGTAGAACTTGGCTGGAGACAACCCACTGAAATCTATGGGCATGAGTTCCCTGGGAAGAAGGATTGACTGTTAAACCACTCTGGAAATTGTTGCTCTGTGAGGGAAATAGAAGCCTCCTAACAACTCTCAGAAGCCTTAACAAACTATAGGTCCCAGGATGCTTCAGTCCCTGACTGTTTAAGGTGATATGTTGATGCTTTAAATGAATACTGCAGATGGGGCCTAACTCAGTAGGATCCAAACCCAAAAGACTACAGGGACAAAAAGTGGGGAGAAAATATAACCTGACAAAAGACCTAAGGTGGTGAGACCTTCAAGCTGTTTCCACCATAGACACAATGGGGTTGCTTGATGCTCTCAGAATGAGACTCATTTCTTCTGGACCAATCACCTTCCAGGTTTTCACAGGGTGAGGCTCTAAGGCTAACATGCTATAAGCCATTGATAGACATGCAGAGACTCAATGGAGCAGCAGACTGAACGCACCAGTAAGGCCTCCCACCCTTTGAAGTGGAGCCCTTCTCTTCAGAAATGCACTGGGAACAGAGGAAAAGCAATGAAATATTCAAAACCCACCCCTCTCCATATCAAAAAATGAATATTTTATAGTTGGAGTTATTTACAATTTGTGTCCCCAAATAGCCTTTAATTGCCTCTCTCTCTCTCTCTCTCTCTCTCTCTCTCTCTTTCGCCCACCCACCCCGGGTCAATTTCTCTCTCGACTTTAATTAAGTTTTCTTTCCCTGCCTGTCAAAACTTCAATGCCTGCCTTGCAGGTTTGCTTTCAGGTGCGTTTGGGGGTGCTTCCCCCTTCTGCAGCTGGGAAACGTGGACGGGAATGATTAAGACAGCACTTGGCTACTGTTTGCTTGTCTTTCTAACCCCATCCCTCTTCTAACATCCCAAAGGCAATGAGTGGTTATGACTACTTTCAGGTTCAAGTGATATGCAGCCATATCCAGCACATGTAAATATAAGGAAGGAAAGAAGGAAGGAAGGAATTTTTGGCATGTTTAGATTCTATCTCTGTCAGTGGAGGCAGCATGTCTCTGAATACCAGTTGCTAGCAGTCAACTGTGAGGAGAGTGCTGTTGCACTCAGGTCCTGCTTGTGGGATTCCCAGAGGCATCTGGTTGGCCACTGTGGAACAAGATGTTGGACTAGATGGGCTATCGGCCTGATCCAGTAAACTCTTCTTATGTCCTTATGGTTGAACTTGAATAGGGCAAGGTCAACTGTCTTGGGCACTTGCTGACATATCTCTGTGATCAGCAGTGCATAGGCATAGGGGAGTGAGTTGATCCACTTAAATTTGCACTTTGCAAAACAATACACAACCAAAACACAGCCGTTCTTTCAAATTCACACGTCTCTAAATTCTGTAGTACAGTTCTCCAGCCAAGTAATGTGTACAAAAATGCATACACCCCGGGGCAGGGGGCAGAACTGCATACTTTGGTGAAAGTAATGTGCAAAATGCATTATATTAGGGGAAAATGCTTTGTAAAAATGTGTCTATTAGGAGACATTTGCACTAAAATGCTGGTGAATTTTAAAAATAACAACAGATCATACAGGCATAGATGGGCATGACTCAGTACAGTACAAGTTAGCTTTGCATGCCTGCCATGGAAAAGGACCAAAGCTCAGTGCTGGAGCATCTGCTTTGCATGCAGATGGTCCAAGATTCAATCCCCAATGGCATCTCCAGGTAGGACAGGGAGAGAACCCTGCCTGGAATCCAGAAGAGCCGCTGCCATTTAGTGTAGACAGTAGCAAGCTAGATGAACCAATGGGTGTGACCCAGGACAAGGCAGCTTCTTATCTTCCAATGCATATATAATCTACTGTTCTCTTGCACCTTGGAGTGTCCATCAGAAGACCACAGAAGGATGACAGTGAAGCAGAGCACTTGCCTCCTTAGCTAGAGCAAAGTCAATGAATAACTGATTGTGTAAAAGATAGCAGATAAAGTGTTCTTGATCCAATTGATTTACAAGTAATCAATATTGTCCATCAGGCAGCAGACAAAACCAATATGTCTCGATTTTTTTTTTTGGTATTATTGTATACCCCGTCAAAATGACTTAGGAATCGTTTACTGAAACACTGACCTAAGGCAAAAAGAAAGATGTGTGTTTGTGTGCAGATGCATGTGTGTATGCTAATTTGTGTGTTAGGGGAGGAGGAACTGTCTTTTTAATGCAGATACAGAGAGAGAGAGAGAGAGAGAGAGAGAGAGAGAGCGAGCGCACATTTCATGAAAATTCATGTTACAGACAAGTAATACTTGTCTATGCTTTTTCCGATTAAAATTGCAAGCAAACGAATCAGCTCTCCATGCCAATTTTCTGTTTTATATGCAAGGAATTATAATAGCTTGCATTTTTACTATGAGATCCCCTTTATCAAATTGGAAATGGTTTATGATAATGTGAATATAGAGCAATGCAAACTTGTGCACCGTGTAACTAGCCAGTTATTAAGGAAGAGTGGTTTTCTTTCTCTTTGGGGGTTGGGGTTGGGGTGTTGGGGAGGGCTGGAATACTTTGTTTTGGACAGAAGAGTAAGATCTCTCAAGTGGAACTGCTCTCACCTTTGTGCTAGATGGATGTAATTTAAACTAACCCCTGATGTTCTTGCGCTATTTATTTAAAAGTGTGTTTATCCCACAATGAAGCCCACTGAGATGAAACATCAAATCTAGAGACTGTGCTCTCTTTGGCAAGAATTATATATGGATTGATATTCCAGAGGGCTGATGGCAGGTCACCTTTTTTGGCATTGATTGCTGATTGTCCTATTACAGACTGCCAATCACAACTACATTAATGATGTAGCAGGACCTAAGAATCCCCCCCCAACTGCACTTTATTCATTTATTTCCATCAATGAGAAAAAAAATGTTACATAGCATATAAGATGAAAAAAAGTTTGAAGGCCGCTACAGGAGAAATCAGGTTAGACCCAATCCTTCTCCTATGCAGACAGTTAATTGGGCCCAGTCTTCTTGTAAACATAGCTCTTCAAGTTTGCAGAGTGGGTGGGGCTGCCAAAAAGATCCATCATAATGGGAAACCCACATGTAGGAAGCAGAGGGAAGAAAAAACGAGGGACAGAATTGCTGTGCCCCACCCAGCTTTCCAAACAAGAATGACCAACATTCTTGGAATTAGTGTTTGGTATCTAGGGCTGGATTTAGGTTTCTCATTTGTTTCCCTCAATCTAAATTTCAGTTCTTCACATTTTCATGTCAGTTTGCATTTTATTTTATTTTTTAAGCATTTTAGCGCAAGTTTCATCATGTTTGATGGAATTTTGACCTATTCTCCTTAAAGAGCTACAATTCCCAGTGTGGTTTAGCAAATAAATCCCTCTTCCCAGCGATCTCTGAGAACTGTAGCTCTCAGCAAGCACCTTCAACTAACTACCACTCTCATGGTTTTTGGGTGGAAGCCATGATTGGTTGGTGAAAGCCAGGGCTGAAGTGGTATCCTGGTGCTTTACATCTATGGCGTGGGTGTGGAAGTTTCATCCACTGACACACTTGTCCTAGATGCCTTACACTATTTGTGCATCTAGCTCAGCATCTCCTACTTGGACCAGCAGCATATCTCTGGCAGAGGTTCGATCCATGTTTGCCACTTGTGATGCTTTGCCAGAGATTTCAAGGACTAAACCTGGGACCTTCTGCACACAGAGCATGTACCGGTGAGCTGAGGTTAGAAATGCCAAAATCAATCCTTCAAGGTGTTTGTGTATATACAAGAGGTCAAAGAAGACTAGTGTTGTCCCTGAAGTACCATCCAAGGTTTGCAATGGTAGAATTGATGTGCCCCAGCAACTGCTTAAAAACAACAACCACCCACCTCTTTACAGGAAGTTGATGCCATTAGTGGAAACCAACAATGTTTTCATGAGGCCCTGGTGAGGGCTCCAAGTAAAATTCTGGGAGCATTAAGGATGAGATCCCTTAGATCCCGACATCTCAGAGATGTCCAGTCAGTTTTGTTTGTTTGTTTCTGAGGTGGGAGGTGGCAATGGAAATTTTAATGACTTCCCTGAGGGGCTGACTCTGAAGGAGCACCTCCCAAAGCTCCTCTCTTTGCTTATTTATGGCAGCTCCCAGTTATCAGAGCACTGGCTGTCCAATTAGCTTAACGACTAGAGGCTCCTCAGCCGGTGTTACATTATGCTGTCTCAGAGCTATGTAATCCCTTCTTAATGATATGGTACATTCCAAGCCCACTATATTAATTTCAAAGGGATATGTCAGTATGTGTGTTGCAAGGAGCCGGCATTTGCTCCACAGGCTCTGAGTCATTTAACGGGCAACATTTCTAATGCAAAATGTGCAGGGAAAGAAGTGCTTGTTTCTTCTCCTTACTGCTTGTGTGAGAGACTCTGCAACAAAGGGAAGGTCCATAGCTCAGTGGCAGGGCAGCTGTTTTGCTTGCAGAAGGTCCCCGGTTCAATCCCAGGCATTGCCAAGCAGGGCTGGGAATGTCCCCATTTTGAAACCCTGGAGGGTTACTGCCAGCCAGTGTTGACAATACTGAGCCGGATGGATCAACGGTCTGAAGTGGTATATAAGGCAGCTTCCTGTGTTCCTAAAACTCTTGATGGCTGAAAATTTCCCATACATTGGTGTGGTGTTTTTTTTGGGGGGGGGGGTTAGGTGTCCAGCTTGGGGTCAAACAATACATGATGTCAAAAGGCAGGAAACATTAAACACGTCTGATTTTTGTATTTAAATAGAAGCCATGGGAGTTCCCGATCAATATTATTATTAAAATATATTTATTTATACCCCATCTTTTCCCCTGACAGGGCTCAAGGTGGGATATAAATAACCTCCAACGTACTGCAGAAGTTGTGAGAGCAGGAAGGGGACATCGCTCTCAGAGGCCAGTTTTTCCCCTTCTCTCTCTCTTTCCCTCTCAACTCAGCAAAGGAGATGCATCCTATGGCCCCCTAGGACACTCTCCCAGGGATCATAGGATTGCAGCCTAAATATATTTTATTTTGGAATCTAAACTTCTGCTCCTGGAGGGACTAGTGATAAATAATGGATAAATATATAGATGCAATAAGCTAAAAAAATAAAGGTTTGACTTACTGTTAAGCTAATTTAAGTCTGTGCTGTTGTAAATGTGCTCCACATTTCAAGAGCAGTTTCCCATTCTGTGTGTGTGTGTTTGTAAATAAAAAAAAAGTCCAAGACCTCCTCAGCAGTAACTGGTTTCATGTTTTGTTGGATCTTGGCTAGGATCTTTTGATTGATTGACATTATTACTGGTCTTTGGAGGAGGAGAGCCCAGTAATTTATAGCAGTACATTTTCCTTTTGATCTCTCCTCTTCCCCCACCCCCCATTCAGAATTAATTTACCTAAATATGCATGAGGGAAAGGAGGAAAGATTTAATTGGAGCTATATGGAAGGATGAGATTAAAACACAATGAAGACCACATAAATTCGATGTCAGAGCTTCCAAGTCCCCCCCTCCCCCCACATTCAAAGTTTCATTCCTACACATCTTTTTAATCTTGGGATCTCACCTTAGCTATAAGCATCAGCCCAGGTGAGTTGTGGGGAAAGATAATTCAGTCTATCTATAGTCACCTAATATTTCTTTCATCTCTGTTATCCAACAGTCAGGGAGAAAGAACTGTTTCATTTCAGAATTGACTCTACTATTAGACCAGTAACCTTCAACTTTTTCAAACTTACAATGGAACAGGTGACTCCCTTAGACTGGTCCGTCTAGCCCAGAATTGCTTACATGGATAGGTAGAAGTTCTCCAACATTTCAGAGCAGAGATTGAAGCCAGGACCTTCTGCATGCAAAGCCTGCCCTCCATCACTGAGCTGTGGTGGGAACAACACTGAGAAGATAGGAAGCTGCCATACCATCAGATCATCTAGCTGACTAATGTCTACACTGATTGGAAGTGGCTTTCCAGGGTTTCAGAAGGATCTTTTCCTAGCCCTACCTGGAGATGCAGAGAATTGACCCTGGGGGCTTCTGCATGCGACATGGATGTTCTCCCACTGAGCTATGGTCCTAACCTGTAACTTCTCGCCTACAACAAGGTTAAGATTTTTAATGCTCATTCTAGCTGTCTAAATTAAATTAACGGGCTCAGTATCCCACATAGATCTTGTGCAAGTTTCATCAGGAGCCTGAAGATGACATGGGACAGTGTCAGGGAACTGCCATCGGAAGGAAGGGAGGTGAAAGGGCTCACACAGGTTGGGAGAGACTCAGCAGCTGAAGAGGGAACCAGTAGGGGGAGAGGAGCTGAGCTGAGGGAAAGTGAGCTGGAGGGATGGCTCAGAGACACTTCCAGCGAAAACAGTGGGGAGGTTTCAGGACCTCCTGTGGAACACCCACTCCTCGCCGGAAACTGTCACGCAGAGAGTCCAGAAGACGTGTTTCCGTTAAGGAGCTTTTATGTTGGAAGCGATTCCGAAGCAACCACTGTAGGAATCTGCTAGTGACTAGAGGAGCCATGTCTGAGGGGCTCCGTCACAGACAGAGGTTTGTGGACTTGAACAAACTCTGATGGGATACTATTTTACGCACAAGCAGCTCATCATCCCATCACAGCATTCCGACAGTCTTTGAAAGCAGCTTGTGCAGGAGAAGGCATCATGAGCAACCCAGCCGGAACCGGAGAAGCAGGAGCTGGAGCGGGTCCAAGCCTGGAAGAAAGGTACCGGGTGTTGGAGGTCCAGCTAGCGCTGCAGACGGCGAGGCTTGAGGAGAGGAGGGCTCAGGATGCAGACAAACAGGGGAAAGCCACCCAGCTCGCCAGCACGGTACCAGGATTGGTGCAGAAGTTTGGGGCGCCCCACGACTATCATGGCTTTCGGACAGAGATGCAATATGCCCTCAATCTGCAGTTTGATGAATTCCCTGATGAGGAATCACGAGTGGCTTTCGTGATTGGGCATCTTGAAAAGGGGGGGGCTAGAGACTGGGTTAGACCCGGATGGCAGCGAATAGTGACGTCCTAAAGGACACGATGAAGTTCTTTCGCGCCATGGATCTGATGTTTTCCAGCGATATTGAACAGGGAGTGGTGCGCAGACAGTTAATGGCTTGCAAACAGGGGAGCCGATCTGTCCGTGAGTACTGGACTGAGTTCACCATGCTGGTTCACAGATTGGGGTGGGACTTATCGGCGGAACCCATTCAAATGCTCTTTGAAGAAGGGCTTTCTTCGGCTGTGAAAGACGAACTTTCCCGGGCGCCCAGGGCGGAGTCTATGGACCAGCTGACCAAATCAGCGCTGACCATAGGAGCGCGCCAGGAGGCGAGAGCATTGGAGAGGCGGGAAGGGAAGGGGAACGTTGGAAGGAGTTCCGCATTCCAGACATTCCAGAGCCAACTTTCCCGCCGGCAGAGCCGATGGAAATCGGAACAGCGCGCGCGCGCAGTTTCAAAGCCCAGTGAGGGGGGAAAGAAGGAGGGAAACGCGCCCGGAAATGCTATCTCTGCCAACAGCCAGGTCACTTTGCCAGAGTCTGCCCCCAGAGGAAGGAATGGCAAGGGATGGTAGGAGCTGTGGAGGGAAGAGAGGAAGAAATACCGGAGCAAGTAAAGCCAACGCCTGGCTGCCACCGTCGGGGCACAGCAGCCAGGCCAAAGAGCAGTGAGAGTGCCCACGCCAGAACCTCCTAAACCCGCCCTAGTGATAGAAGTGGCGCTAGAGCTGCCAAACGGACACCCTCTAAAGATAAAGGCGCTGTTGGACTCAGGCAGCTCCTGCAATTTCATGAGCAAAGAGTTTGCAGCTGAACACCAGATACAGACGATCCTTTAAGCAACCCCTGCAGGTGACCACGATCGATGGCAGGGAGCTGTTGGGAGGAGAAGTCAGCTTGCAGACCGTCCCAATGATAATGAAGGTGGCAAGGCACACCGAACTGATAGCGTTTAATGTGGCCACCTTGGGAGGAGCTCCCATTATATTGGGGATGAGCTGGCTAGCGTTACATGATCCGCTGGTGGGCTGGCATCAGAGAGTGGTTTCTTTTGGTTCAGCACATTGCTTAGAACACTGCAAAGAGGGAAAGGGTTTGGCAGGGGCCCAAGCCACCCTAGCAGGGACTGAAGTAACGGAGAACGTGAAGGTACCACGACAATACGCAGATCTCCGCGACGTCTTCAGCGAAAGGGAAGCTGACCAACTACCCCCGCATAGACCCTTTGACTGTCAAATCAATTTACTCCCTGGGGCACAGCTCCCTGTAGGCAAGCTGTACGCCATGTCAGACAGAGAGATGCAGGAGCTAAGAGAGTTCATTGACAAGAACCTGAAGAGAGGGTTCATCAGAGAGTCCAGGGCGGTGGGGGCAGCCCAGTGTTTTTGTGGATAAAAAAACACGAACAAGCCGAGGCTGGTGTGTGACTTCAGGGCCTTAAATGCAGTGTCAGAACCAGTGGCCTTCCCTATGCCCAGGATTGACGACATTTTGACAAGGGTGCGGAAGGGAAAGATTTTCACAAAGCTGGACCTAAGGGGGGCGTACAACCTGATACGAATAAGGAAGGGGGATGAATGGAAAACCACCATGTTCACCCCTTTAGGGGCATTTGAATATTTGGTTATGCCCTTCGGCCTACAAGCAGGCTCCGCATGCTTTCAATCGTTTATGAACCACGTCCTGGGGCCTTTGCTTTACAAGAATTGTGTGGCCTTTTAGACGACGTGTTGGTGTATTCTGAGAATGAGGAGCAGCATGTGAGAGACGTCAGAGAAGTGTTGAGCAGGCTGCAAGCCAACCAGCTGTGGGTGAAACTGGAGAAGTGTCAGTTTCATACCAAGGAGGTGGAATTCCTGGGGTATCGCCTGTCAGACAAGGGATTGGCCATGGATCCCGGCAAGGTCCAGGCGGTGCTGGAATGGAAAACACCCAAAACAAGGAAGGATGTGCAGAGGTTCCTAGGATTTGGGAACTTCTATCGTAAGTTCATCCGAAACTTTGCCCACCTGACGGCGCCCATTACGGACTGTCTCAGCAGTAAGAAGAAGTTCGTTTGGACTGAGGAGGCGGAGCGAGCATTTGAGGAACTAAAAGGGCCTTCGCCTCGGAACAACAACTCCTGCATGTGGATTTACAAAAACCGATGAGAGTGGAAACTGACGCATCAGACAGAGCGATTGGGGCGGTGCTTCTGCAGCCAGGGAAGGAGGAGTCAGAGTGGAGACCGTGTGCTTTTTTTCGCGAAAGCTGAACAAATCCGAGAGGAACTACACGGTGTATGACCGAGAACTACTAGCCATTCATGAGGCGTTCCGGAGATGGAGGCACCTGCTAATTGGCGCACAACATAAGGTGCAAGTGTGCACTGACCACAAGAACCTAGAGTATTGGAGGACGGCACGAGTGCTCAACCAACGGCAAGTGAGATGGGCCCAGGAGTTCTCCAAATTTAACTTTGAGATTGGTTACGTGCCAGGCCCAGAGAACATTAGGGCG